GCCTGACTGGGTCTCATTCTATTCACCATCTACCTTCTCATATGGCAAATATGGAAAGACTTATGTTTTAAAATGAGAGCTTCATAACAGAAGGGCCCAGAGGAGGAAGCTGGGATTTGGCCAAAGTGAGAAATTCCTAAGATTTTTTTTTATATTTACTTTGCAGTACCTCTGCTTTCTAACATCAACCACATTAAGGTAGAACTGTCAGATGAGGACTCTTCAGGAGTGCTTCACATAGCATGTGTACATACTGAGAATATGAAAAATGTCCTTTGTTCCCTCTTCTAAACTTGATTTTTAGGATTTTTAAGTAAATAATAGAGGGCAGGCAAACAACCATAACCAGAAAATCTTACTTAGCAAAATAACCTGTTGTTTTATTTTTTTTAAATGTGCAGGTGTGAAAGCCTTTTTCAGAAGACTATACCATAGAACAAAGTTGCAAATTGGGTCTGAATACTAGGAAGATCTTTGCCTCTGTCTGCTCCTTGTAAGTTCTCATCAGGTCCAAGCTCTGCATTTCATCATGTTTTTATTCCAGAAAGGTAGTTTCATTTTTCTCATATAGAATATGGCACTTGTGGGAAGATGAGGGAACTTGAGGGAAGAGACATAAGGCCAGCCACATAGGTTTCAATTAAATTGGTTTTATTTATCTGGGAGCCCCAAAGCAGAAAATAGGGAGCTTCAAGGTGTTCTTGTATCCACAAAGGACTAGAGATAGTACTTGGAAGTCCCCCTGAGTCTAGAGGCCATTTGGGCTAATGTGGTTTAGGCACACCAGTTTCTGTAGTCAACCGCAGACAAGATAGTAAAGTGGCTCTCCCCACCTCCAGCCATCTTTAACTCTCCACCATGAATGACCAGGAACTTATTTACAGCTCAGTTGACTAGGGGCAGGTTTGGGCACTAGTCTAAAATAATGCTTGAACTCATTTTTCTGGAGCTATAGACAAACACTTGCCACTATGTTCTCAGAGACAGTGTGGCAAATTCGGATGCTGAAGCCTGTAAATCCTATTAGCCCCTTTTTAAGCATGTCTAAGCATATACACATTCATAGTAATGTTCAAACAGTCCCTTTCTCTCATGTCTGTTCTGCTTTGTACAAATATGATTTAAATCGATGTGGGCCTCTGATTTCCTTGTCTGAAACAGTTGGGACAATTCCAGCTACATTTATGTTTATACCTAAGTGAGCAAAACAGAGGCCACAATAACTTAGATACCTTAATACAGCACTTTTACTAGCAGAATACACTTCAGTGAGGGCACAAGAGTTGGAGGATAATTTTATAACACCTGTGGTAACAATTCTAGAGATTTGACCAACTAAGAATGACAGCGATCACAATGAATGTAATAAATCATGTCAGCTTTACTTGCCTTTGTGATTGCAGGAGTATCTCCTGATATTGTCTTTTAGGCTAGGTACAAACTTTATTCTTTTACCAGTATAAGTGATTGGAAACTGGTCTATATCTGCAACAGAACAGAAGCTCGGCACATATAGACTGGTTTAAAAGTGTTAAAACCTGGTCTAAGATTTGCCCCCCACTCCCACTAAAAAGTGAATGTATGTTCTGTTTGCTACCAATCTAAAACTACGCCGTCTATAGAAAACCACGTAACTTAGATCAATTCTGCCTTGGGCATTTTGAATGTCTGTACTTAGCCCTAATAGCTGACAAAAAATTGTTAAATCTGGTGTGGAAAAACATGCAAAGAGAAAGATATAAGAAAGTTACTACCAAAGGATTGCTAATTCTAAAAGAGTACTACCAGTAGTAACAGGTTTTGATGGTAATCACTTGAAAATGTAAGCAGAACAGATAATACAATTCAAAATGGTCCTGAATCAAAATTCTGGATTCAAATGTTCCTAGGCTTTCAGATAATTAAGATCCAGATAAAAATGTCATAGCATAGTCTCTTCTGTCAGTAATTTTTGGGTAGCATACAACCTTCTCATTTTAAATGACCACAAGAAGTTTGAGAAACAGTAATATATATGTACCTCAATTGTGAGCCTGGACACTATAACAAAGAAGAATTGATTAACTGTGGTGAAGGTAAAACTGAGTTATTACAGAGTTTTACCTCCTTCCACTAGAAATGGGAGGGCCTGACAGGACCTGAGTCAGTATACAATGACTTCTAGTCTTAAAGTATATCCAAATGTTGCTGTAAGTGCTACTCCTTAGCTATGTATGTGTTACTACTATGTTGTTCATAGCTGAGAACAGGCTCTACACACTGTCCAGTTTCACACTCACACAAGTCTGGCATATAAACAATATATAAATAAGGTTATTGGAGGATTTGAGTGCTAAGATAACTTGAGAGTGGTGCTGGGGAATGAGCTCAGGACCCCTTGAAACAATGTTTGATGCCTAATTTCCTGGCCTGAACACACGTGGAATAGAGGCAAGTATGTGGGTCTTGTTTCTCTGTGGGGCACAGACTTGGGCCTTGAAGTTCAGTACATGAGTTCTACATCCATGTGTTTTGGCTATTAGACTGAAAGCTCACTCTCCCTGGTTTCATTTACCTATATTTTCCTACTAATATCTTTTATCATATTTTCTGCATGTACGAAAAAAAACTGCAAGACTGCATTTGCAATCTATAGAGCTAGGACTTAGCTTTATTGAACATTATGGTGACTTGTATGTCTACTGAAGGTTCCGAAGGTTGAAAGCTGAAGCTAGGTAAATTCAAAATAACTGACGTTCCAGTTTTTAAGGGACAAATTATATAAGCATTGCCAGACATGTGGTGGATTCTCCATCATTAGAATTCTTTAGGTCAGGATGGCCCGTGATAGGCCACAACTCAAATAGTAGTTATGAAATTCATACAGAAATTATTGGATAATGTTCCTAGGCTTACATTGTGCAGGAAATAAGACTAGAGAATCATAATGCTATCTTGTGGAATTTAAAATCTATGACATGGTAAATAAGGTTAGGAACTCAGAGAAATTAATTTTCAGTAATGCACAACATAGGTCTGCAAAGGACTGCTAATACCTGACTTAGACATAATAGACTAGAGTTGTGTTTCATGGCATGTATTGTATATTTAACATGAAGTACGTAAGAAAAACAAAAACGATACAGACAGTTAAAGCTTTTTCAATTAAATTATTTTCCCTCAGACACAAACACATGTGAATACATTAAAAACACACACACAAAACAAAATAATGTAATTTTTAACCTGAAATAGAAAAATATAATTAAGAAAGAGAAGTTTTATTAGGGCAATTTCACTTTATTTTTCCATACAGCAAGGTCAACTATAGCAGTAATAATAAAATAAGCATAAAAACAAATTGCAGCCCAGGACAGAGTACATAATTTGGAGCAACTACAAGCAAAAAGTAAGTTTGTGATTACATAATAGTAAAACCAAGCACATCTGTCCTTTCAGCAGATGAAAGTTGCAGGGTTGCAAGTAAGTGCAACGTTATTAATTATTCAATATAAATACTGGAGATGCCAGATAATATAATGGCCTAATCATTTTTTCTTTCCAGCTTTGGCTTATAAAATTACATGGTTTCTTGAGTGCTTTCCATTAAAACGGTAAAATCTGATAGGTTTATTTTTTCACCTGCTAAAAGAACAGGACCACTACAGCAATAAAAAATAATCACATAACAACTACAGCTACGGTGTGCTGTTTGGTTTGCCTGTTCATGATTTAACTCTTTTTGTGAAAGTCAATATTTGTTTTGAAGGTTTTTTTGTGAACAATAAACCACTGAAATTGTCAAACTGGTTTGAATAGTATAATATTCTTAATATAGTTCTTTTTTGATACTTTAAACATGCAGTAGTTTTTGAATAATGTACGGAATATTTGATCCATGATTTCACCTTGATGGTTTGAAGTACCTGCTTTTTAAATTTTTTTATAGATATATCTCTCTCTCTCTCTCTCTCTATATATATATATAGAGAGAGAGATAGAAACAAAAATATATATATATCTCTCTCTCTCTCTCTCTCTCTCTCTCTCTCTCTCTCTCTCTCTCTCTCTCTCTCTCTCTCTCTCTCTCTCTCTCTCTCTCTCTCTCTCTCTCTCTCTCTCTCTCTCTCTCTCTCTCTCTCTCTCTCTCTCTCTCTCTCTCTCTCTCTCTCTCTCTCTCTCTCTCTCTCTCTATATATATATATAGAGAGAGAGAGAGAGAGATAGATATATATATATTTTAGTAATGATTTTCAGGCAGATTTGACCCAGTGGAATTTTTGTCAGTCATGAGATCTTGGAAGGATGGCATATCTTTCCAGCTGAAAAAATCCTGGCAAACTACAAGCTGTCCACATAAAGCAAAGCAACTTTTTGAAGGGGTATGGAGTGCTAACTCTGTGCCACTTTTGCAAGCAATTTTGTTCAGCCTGTCATTTTTATTAGCCTTAACAAAACTCCTTGTAATTATAGACATTTTTATTCAAAATAAGATCTTACTATTATACAGGTTTCTCTCTTTTTTGACTATATACAGAAGTGCAAAAAGTCAACCTTCTCTCTATACGTTCCCACATGCTAAACTGCAGCATAATCAACCCTCAAGAGTTTGCACACACGCTATAATTCTTGTTACGTAAACTTTGAGTATTTGGATTATCAAAACAAAAAGTCCCTTGATCTATTGATTATGCAGCTTATTTATAACAAGGCCTGATATTCAGGGATTTCAAAAAATATTTAAACAATATTTTAACATTTGAAATGGATACAGTAGAAAATAAATTTTATTCTAATATCTAGGAACTAGATTTTCTTATAATAACTAATTACAAACAAAATAAATCATCAAAATATTACTCAATTGTCTGCCAGGATTGTTGCGATAGCAACAACTTAACTTCTTACTTAGCAATGATTATATAATTATAAGATATCCATATAAAAGATCTTTGTTCTTTTAATGAAAACTAGACAAGAACTAACAATGACTGACATTCTTACATTGTAATATTAAATCAGTAAAATATAAATCATTTAGTTAACAATACGAATACTCATATGACACTACATGTAAATTCAAAACTGAGTATGTTATGAAGAAAAAAAACCTACATTTTTATTTATTTTTTTTGTATTTTGGAAAAGTCATCAGTAAAATCTAATAAAACAAAATTCTATAAACTGAAACAGTATTCAACTGGTAATAGAAAATGAAAACAATCTAATAAATGTAAGAAATAAAAACTACATTTTTAACAAGAAAAATAAGTAATATTCTATAATGTAAGTAACTACAATAACATGTGAAGTCACCTATACTTTCTTAACACGATTGAAATTACATTGGTATGGGTTTTAACCCGTAATGTAATAATCTAAGGCTTTAATAGATGTACAGTACAATCAGTAAAATCAACACATCATTCTTATACTAGAAAGCATCTCTCTCAAGCATAAAAACTTGCAGTAAACTTGGAAGTATGGAAAGTTCTAGAACTGAACTCTCACTTCTTCCACTCCACACTATACTACCAGTGACCTGGCCCCCACTTCAGCAGTTTGCTGAACAGAGCAAAAATATCCTTTACTAGCTGCAACATCCAAACCACAAAAAGGAATTCCTTTGGATGAATCCATTCTTAAAAACTTGAATGCACATCTATTTTTTATTTTATTTTGTAAAGGCTTTCTAAGGCTATAAGCAGTTAATCTGAACAAAAAAAAAATCACATATAAAACTCACCCAAGTATTTAACCCACCCAATTTCTACACTAATTAACATCTCCATTTTTTTCATATTTTGGTTTGTCATGCGGCTGATGTCAGTGCTTCTTTCTTCTTTGTTTAGAGTCACCGTTTTGAAGCGTGACTTTGATGAAGCATTTAAGCAAAAGTGAAACCCATCTCTGCAAAGCATTTATAGTCTTTTGACTTTTGACAGAGGCTATAAATAGAAGCAAAATAAGTTCCTCAAACGTTTGTTATTGTGTCTCAGAAATGGCTTTTCCCTTTTGTATATCGTGTTATATGGTATAATATGCATAAATATTACATTACAATGTCTTAAAATAGTTTATATATGTGTATATGTCCAGTATGTGTTAAGTTAATTTGTATCGATAAAATACCTTTCTTGTGCTGTCTACTGTTATGTAAGGTAGAATTGGCCATTTCTGAGACAACTTTGGTTTTGAAACAGAATGGTGCCCTTTGACTGATCAGTACTAACAAAATAAGCAAAAATGTGGCTCTGAAAAATAACACTGCAGAAATAATACTCTAATTTGATGTACAGTCTATGGCACTTCATGAGAATCCTTTACAACATGGTACTTAAAGCCATTGATGTGCTTTAAAATATACACAGTTGTGGTTTTGCTTGGCACATTCATCTCTGTCAGATACCTCTCTTACCACTTCTTACAATCTATTACATTAAAAATATTACTCTTAAACAAAAATTACTGTGCATGCACGCTCTCATCTATAATGGCAATTTTAAATACAAGGTGCACCTTTGTTATTTGTAAACCTTGAAAGAAATAAACTTACTTAAAAAAATTATATCTTGGTCTACAGACGTACCAATACATAATAGATTTATGATTACATCATAGTCTGTCTTTTCAAGATGACTTACATGAGTATGTAGGAAATAGACTACATATGCATATCTAAATATATATATGCATACTTCTGTGCTAGAAAAGATAGACAATGTTGTAGTTTTAGACAATAAGATCACCTCAGCACAAATATCAATTCAATGTACAAAGTATATAGGCAACAGTGTGCAGTGGATTTCCAAGTTCTTGTTTCTTCTTGTTAACATGCAATGTGTGGACGTCTTACTGCTGAGGGAGTTTCGGTGTGTTTCTTGACGGTATATACATTATGGCTAATGATCTTGTCCTTTCCTTTACCCAAGCACACTGTCCTCTTTCTCTTTAGTATGATCTAGAAAAGGAAAAAGAAAGGAAAGAAATTTAGCATGTTCATTTATTCCCTTTAAGTACCTTATGGGCACAGTCTTGCAGTTTCAGCACGAGGGGAATCTGTCACCGAAATTAAAAGGACTTTTGCACCAGCATAGCGATGAGGCTGGGCACCCCAGCAGTTTTCCCAGTCACTCGGCCCTAGTTATGCCAATGGAGTTTTGTATACCAAATGTAAACAGTACTATTTCCCAAATAATATATTCATAACAAAGATATGTTTTACAGACATTATTGTGTAATGATGAAATTATTTATGAAACTAGAATGCCATCATGATCGAGCCATATTTCCTGCCTGGCCCTCCTCACCCCTATAGCTACTAAAGCTTCAGGATTAACAGAGTACTAATTAGTTATTGGGGTTTTACTTAGGACCATACCTTGATACCACTGACAAATGCAGCCAGTAACATTGAGTTTGGTGGCAGCAAGAATTTGGGTAACATTTTAAAAACACCGGAAGTCCACATCCTCTTCAATGACAGCAATTGGTAAACACCAATTAATTTCATAAGACACACGAAACATGCCTAAATAAATTATTTTGGGATTTGGGCTGTACAAGTATGTCTGTTTAATGCCAGGTAGTGCTCAGCAGGGTACTTCAGGTTAGGTCTGTGTGTGCTAACTTCAGAACAAGAAACAGCAACAGGCCATGCTGCAACTTGGCAAATTAATTATGCTGAGAAGCAGAGTGCTTAAGTCTCTTTGAAAATGGAATTTGGACTGCAAAGTCATTTACATCCTTATGAAAATTATATCCCTGGCCACAAATGAGAAGAAAATTATGATTCTATTTTAACAAATAAATAACCACACTGTCAGGTTAAATAGTGTATTTGGCTACGGTGAAACCATCTCTTTAAGAAAACAACAGAAATAGGAAAGCTGTAGATAATAAAAATGAGATGCTAAATTGCAGGAGGCAATGGTCTGTGGGAGGAATAATTAATTATATATATGATTTAGAGAGAATGCAGTGAGGAAATTAATAAGGGGAGGGCATAATTGGAAATAGCTTTTAGGCACTCTATAATTAACCTGGGTCTACCACACAGGAGACCTGGGTTCAATTCCCAGACACTTATACAACTACAGCCATGGAGGCACCAAACATCTGGACTCAGTCTGGTCTTTGGATTCTGTCTTAGTGGCCTAAAGGGAGGATGGAATTTCCTCCAAAAATTCCTGCCCAGGCACATGCATTGAAGGTCTGGGTGGCCCTCATGCATATACCATGATCCAGGAGGATCGACGGTTGCCAATTAACCTGGAGAATTCATTATAGGTTCATATTTAGCCAAATAGCTTAGAGTGAGTTTTTAAAAAAATATGACCGGACTATATATGCACTGATAAACCCTGTTAGGGTTAAGATTTGCAAGTAGTAGGTACAAGTAGTAGGTTCCCCCGGGCTTAGACGGCTAACTTTGTATCTCCTGTAACCTAGTTGCATTCCCCCCCTCATCCCCATCCCTATCCCTCGCTTGTTAGTCCCTCGCTTGGGCGATCTGTATTTCCCTACCAGCTTTGTCATCTTTTTTGGATTCCCAATCCTAAACATATACTAATAAAAGTCAATTTGTTCTCTTACGTTGGGCTTAAACATCAACTAATGTCATGAATAAACTTTTTTCTTGGCTGAAGAAAGCTAATAATCAAGTGGCTATCCAGAAACACGCAGAGCTATGATTTATTTATATGTAGGGTATGACCATAAATGAAACCAGTTGTGAGGACAGAGTAAACAATACATTATATTCCACTTAAACCTGAAGAGTAGATGGTAGCTCTGTAATGGAGAAAGAGGTGGAAATGAAGGCATATATTTCCTTCCAGAAGCTATTAAGTTATCCTAGCATAGTTGGATGAGAAATTCTATAAGGCTAAACCAAAACAGAGAGCTCATATGTCATAAATATAAACTAAGATTTCATGATTGAAAATGCAGGAAAAAAAATCTCAGAAACAGAGACAAGTGAAACCAACTAAAAGCCTGTCTGCAAGGAAAGAGGCTAAATTATGAGAAGCTGATTGTAGTTCAACCCCAAACTATGCAAATATAAATTGAATTTGCATTCTCCACATGACCTCTCACTTTTCTGTAACCTATATCACAAAAATACCTCCCATAACTTACTATAATTTGGCAGTCTCTGCTCCAAGGAATCCAGGGCTTAGTTAGACTAATAATTAAACTCTAATTCTCATTTACAGAATTTTGCAAATTTTGTGATTAAACAGCTCTTTCAGAAGAAAGCCTCAGTATAGCCAGGTGCCCTATTTATGGCCCACAGTATATATCAGAGGTAGGCAACCCCCGGCATGGGTGCCAGAGTGTAGCACTTCAAGGCATTTTGCTTGGTACGTGTGATCTGGGGCAGATAGCGGAGAAGGGGCCAGAACTGCAGTGCCACAACAAGGACCAGGCCCCTTGTGGCTCCCCCACTATCTGCCCCTGGCATGCCAACTTCTTACAAGTTGAGGTCATGGGTTTTTTTGGCACTCTGCCCAAAAATGTTGCTGACCCCTGGTATATATGAAGTAGTGCAGTCCCTAAAAGAATCCTTTTGTTTTATAGATTCTGGATTTATTAATAAAAGATTTCACTCCAGACTGGCATGATGTGATTCCCACCCTACCAAGTCTGGCAGGCTCGCAAGTTATTTTTCCCCAGCTTATGCTGTCTTTTTAGGGCAGTGGAAGGCATCAAACAAATAAGCCTAAACTAATGGGATGGCAGGATTCTCCACCCGATTCAGCCTTTCAATGGGTGCTTAAATTCTACAGGAAGAAACAGTTTAATTACTGCTGACTCACTGGCATATATGGGGCTTACTGGGTTCCTCTTCCCTGCTCCTGCCAAAATGAGTGAGCAGATGTTGACCCGAGGCTTCCAGAAGCTAACAAAGCACGGCAATTTGAACACACCTGGCACCGTCTCAAAGTCAGACACTTCTAACGAGATGGGCTTGCTTCTCAAAAAGGTCTTTTGTGTGCTTTAGATTATGAATGCTATTAATTTAAACTTAATCACTGCTGTATCTTTTATGTCCAGTAAGCAGATGATAATAGATATAAAGGAACTGAGTTTGCTACATCCCATGCCCCCTGACAACCGAAAAGAGCTCTGTATCCTCTGTAAGGCCACTGGCACCCAGGAAGTCTGCAGGCACACTGGTTGCCCAAGGTGAACCATCATTCTTATACTGTGGACAAAGCCTCTGACTTAGCATCCAAGAGGCAAGCAGAATCGGCATGGCAGCAGGTACAGAGTTTATGTCCTTGGGGATCCAGATCTCTTTACCAGTGCAAGCACCAAGCAGGACTGTCTGTCAGTTTTATAAATCACAGGCTACTAGGCTCATATGTTTCTGGAAGGAGGGTAGTTAACCACTGGCCTCTTTGCCGGCAGTGCCAGCAAAAGTGCTATCAGTACCAAATATATGGCAGTTTGGCAATACTGCCTCTGATGTACTGGACTGAAACCACTAACTTGCATCACTGATATTTGTCCAGTTTCTGTAATCCGCTGTTTAAAAAAAAAACCAAACCAAAAAAACAATTCTACATAAAAGCTATGGCCCCCATCACACAGAAGTTAGTATCAAAGAAACCCATGTCAAAAGAGCTTCTACAACACTTTAAAAAAAATTCTCCTTCAAAAACAATATGTCTCAGTAAAAGACAAGTTATTCCCAGACACAAAGAGCATGAAAACTGTGGAAGCAACACATCAAAAACTTACTGTTTGATGACAAAATGTCTACATCTGTGTAACATATTTGTGGCTAGTCAGATGTTCCGCAGATATTATGGGTATCTATAGGTAAAAAATGTAAACAATGAATAATATGTGCAACACGTCAACCAGGAGAAAACGCATTTTACTATCAAACATTACAGTAGTTCAGAAAAAGCAACAATCAGCTGTGAGGTGGTGGATTTTACATTGTAACTACAGTATATGTTACAGTAAACTGAAGTGCTACAAAAGCCAGTTAAAACTGAAAAAAACATTGTGGTAGGTACACTTGACTGATGTATATAAGTATTATTGGTTGTTTAGAAAGTAAGAGAAGTTAAAATCTACAGAAGTTCATGCAGTGCAGTCATTGAAAGGAGCCCTTTTTGTTGGCCTACACAAAGTTCAATGATTTGGGTATTTTACTAAGTCATTTGAAACAAACACCACAGCCAGATTTTGAGGAGTGTTTGCTAAATTAGTCTCTGGGTGCCAAACCAAGATGCCTTGCATCTGTTTTTTCACAGGTGGTACAAATTCACAGATTACCTACACCGTGTATTCTTGCCGCCTGTGAAAACCAGGAAGTAGGTTCTGAGTTGGGCACTGAAAAAACAAAGATTCTCTAAATTAGCAATTTATTTTTACAATGTTGGCCTTTGTAAACAGGACTCATCTACACAGCTCTCTGACCACTCGTCAACAGTGTGTTTTCCGTAAGATTAGCTTTAAAAATGAAACTGACAATATAACAATTACAAAGAGCACAAATAGCAAATCAAGACACAAGTTAGACAGCTCTTTCCTGGAGTCCAATCCTGCAGGCCCTCCAAGGTTTAACATAAATTAAAGTCAATGGGAGTGCACATACACAGGCCTTGCAGGATAGAGAACTTAATGAGAAAAACAAGACTGTTCGAAGTGAACTACAGATGTTAAACGAGCAGTATTAAACCCGCACCGCAACAAGAGGCAGGGAGTCAGACTGAGGCAGAGAACAGGTGCACTTATGTACAGAAAACCAGGTCCAGCACTATGTCATAATCCTGACTTAGATGTTGTAAAGAGCTGTGGAACTTGAACAGATAATATCCCCTCTCAGTTTGTCATACACATAGCTCCACAGAAGAAAGGAAGGGTGGAGTTTTTTTTCTTAACTAATCACTAAGCAGAATGTTTTAGTGGTGGATCTTTCCAGCCCTTACATCCTTGCTTTACTTTTCATATAATTTTACAGCATTTCCAACTAGCCCAGAAATGTGCTCCAAGCATAATGAAGCTTTTCATACCATTTTTTCTACTGCTGCAGGAGAAGATGTTGCACCCAACTGTGTAGAAGCATCAGGGATAGTGCTGTCAAAACATACCAAGGACCTTCAACACCAGTCAATGAAGATGAAGGGCCAGATCTTAAGACCTTATGCATGCATGCACATTGCACGTGTGGCATTAAATCATTTCAGCATTGCTTAAATATTATATACATATATTGCTATATATGTATATATTGAGGTTTGGCTGCAATACTTTACTGAAGTGTGTTATGAGGGGTCCAGGGAGAACAGGCATGAAATGGTCAGATTCTACAACAGCAAGTTTCCCCATTATCTATCTGGGGGAATGCATAGCAGCTTAGACATAGAAAAGACATTTAAGAAATCTTTTTTTTTTCTGTGGCTTTGTTTATTCTAGGAATTTTATGGACATATGTTGGGTACACAACTCAAATGACTTAAGGTTACTTGAATTGTGAATGAAATTACTCATACTGTTTACATATTTCTGATGGTTATTTACTTAGCTGACACTTACACATAGGTAATTGTTTTTGTAAATGAGTTTTCTGGGATTTTAATTCCTTTTCTGATCCAAATTTTCAAAAGACTTGGTCCCTCAATTGCAATATTTTTCACTAGAACAAACTGTTACTTGATCAGAAATATTGGAAACTACATCCAACTGCTGTGGAAACTAAACAGTATTTGGTTAAAATGCCTAATCTTTTTCTGGGACTTTAAGATTCATTGTTATAAATCACTGCAGTGATGCAATTCTCAGGCATGATGTTTTTGAGAATCTAGTTACTGTATATACCACCAAAGGCTTTATAGTTGGCTTGGCATCAAATATTAACGTACAAGATGCTCAAGGCTGATAGCAAGGCTCTGGGTCTAGCCCTGAAAGACACTAAATACATTCCACCCTATAGGTTTCACTGCAATGGGTAGCACACAACACCCTGATGGAAGAGCTTTGGCACTTCACAGGAATGGGCTCAGGATTTCTAAAACCAGCATCCAGTTTTACAGGTGCAATTAACTGCAGCTGTCATAAGAACAGTTGCCTGAAGGTGTATTTTTATTTATGCATCTGGATCTGATTGCACCTGCAGACTTGTTTGCCTTTTATGGTAGGATTTTGAATCCTCCAAGTTGGCATAATGACTGGAGCAGACTTGCATCAAAGGCAGGAACTTTTTAAAGCCAGCCCTTCTATACCATCACTTAATGACCCTGGCAATCAACTGAAACTGCAAAATAGCGCACAGAATTTTGTGGCTGAACAAAAGTCCCTTTTGCTCTAAATGCTAAAGGAATATATAGGACTCCCACTGAATTCATGTAGAGCCCTAGCTACCCAGCATTTGGTATCACATTTTCTGGACAGTGGGTGTGTCCACATGAGATGCATTAATCTAATGAGCAGTAAAGTGTCACTGTCTACACGTGTGCAGTACATTAGGCTAATGCATCATTTGCTAGTTCCAGGAAATATAGGTACTAGATTAATGGCACATTAGCTACTGCACAGTAGCACATGTGTAGACACTGGCCAGGAGCAATTTGCTCCTAGTCAGCTCAGGCAGCAGAGGTACACTGCTACCTGCCTAAGCCCCAATGCAGCAGGGAGCTGTGCTGGCTACAGGGGCAGCTGTCTCCCTGCCACATGGGGATCGGGAACCGGGAGAGCTGTCCCAGACACACAGCGATCTCCAGTTGGGATTGCTGTGGGACCCAATCTCTATGTGGCTGGGTTGACTTAATCTCCACATGACTGGGATGCAGCAGTCCCAGCTGCTGGGACAGCTCTCCTAGCCACGTGGAGACCGGGTCCTGCAGCAACCCTGGCTGCTGATCTCCATGTGGCTGGAATGCAGCAGTCCTGGCTGCCAGGACAGCTCTTCTGGCCATGTGGGAATTGGGACCAGCCCCTGTGCCCCCTGCCACCCATAGCTTGGCACCTGAGGGAGTCTGGGGCTCCTCCTGGTTGCTGAAGTGGTGCAGACCAGGGCAGGAGCAGCCCTGGAGTTAACTGCTTCCATTGGGAGCCAATGTGCTTCCAGCGGGCACACTTTAACATGTATGCAGGGGCATAGTTTAATGTTCCTGAATTTTCTGCAAAGAAAATTAAGGGACATTAATTGCACATGTAGATGCACCCAGTAATAGCAGGCAATAATTCTAAAGGCCTAGTACAAACATGTAAAATTCATGTCAGAATACATTTGAATAAAGGAGTTGTGCACTGGTCTCTCGGATGCTTTTAGTCTTTTACATTCTGAAGTACAAGAATAAAAACAAATTTGAGTTTTTGGTAATCTAAGAACAATGTAGATGAAGCATCAGTCAGAAGGGATGGGAGTTAAACACAATTCCTGTTCCTATTTTATACCCAGCTATGGCAATATTCATGGTAGCTGCCTAGAAAGAATTTGATTAGGTTTTTAATGGACACTGCATTAGTTAAAGTTTGTCCATGGTAAAACTCATCAGGTATTTCCCTAATTCAAAAATTTGAACAAAGGCTTGCAAGCATGTTCCTGTGTGGCCCAATCACAATGTTTTTGTTTTGCTCTTGGAAGAGCTGAAGAGAGTCAGAACATGTTCAGACTACTAAAATCCTGATCCTGCAATCCCTCTGCACCCAGCTTCCATTGGCTTTGATTGGAATGTGAAAGGAAATGGAGGCTTTGTGTACACAGAAAAAAAAGCTTTCTTGTGTATCATCCCTGACTTTTTAAATATGCGAGAGCAGAAATAAGCAGCATGGCCTATAAGTTAAGACTGAATCAGATAATCTCATGTCAGATATTTTTAGCATCAGAAATGGAGCTGCAGCACCATTTGAGCATGGATAAAGGCTTATTAAGCTAGGCTGCAGATCTTAGAGAGAATGTGTAGGCCAACAAGAGGTAAAATCAAAACCCCCATGCTCATTAAAAGCACCAATTTCAAGTTGTTTTTAAGGAACAAAGCTGTAAATTAGCAAACCTGGTTGGCTGTGGCTGTTGCAGCGAAGGGAACACTTGTGGCAGATGTTGTTGCTGCAGACACAGTGGCTGGCGTAGCACCGTGCACCATGGGAACTTTCGGAAGGAAAATCATATAAAGCAAACATACAGAAGAGTGTAGCAGTATGGGAACCATGGCAACATGTGGTAGAATAATTGAGCATGGTATTTATCACAGCAAGAAGCCATGTGACGAGACATCATTGCCAGCGAGTGACATGCAATCACAGTGCAAAAGCAGGACAACATTCCAGGGGCGGGGTGGGGAGGGAAATGAAAGAGAAAAAAGGGGAAAATGCTTGTTACCATCAAATCAGGAAAATCAAGACAAACAAGCTTACCCATTTCAATACAAAATCAAAACAAGAATTTTAAAATGCCCTTACATTTATGACTTACATCTGAATAAAAAGTAAAAAAATCCACCCCACGTATTTACTACAAGCTACAATTAATCAGTTTAAAGGAAAATGTATTGCTTAAATACAATAGTAAGATACAATATGTTACTTAACATAAGATAGTTTCTGAACACTGGAACTCATAGTCCAATCAAAATCCACCAAGCAATTCAGAAAGCTACTATACATAGTAAACAACATCTATGTGTCCATGTCAATTAAATAAAATGATTGCATTTAATTGACAGGTGTTAGTGCAGGGAGTTGGGGAAGATGGACTGCCACAACAACTATCAGTTAAAACCTAGCAGTGGATTTTGAGGGTCCGTGAGCTGCACCACAGGTTTAAGATAATCAAGAAACAAAGCTGGCACCTACCAACACTTGTAGCGGGTGTCATGCACAATATTGAGCCTGCCCATCATGCATTGCAACAGGAAGGTGGATTTGAAAAGGGAAAAGAATTAAAACAACCCATCACACGTGTAATTAGCAAATTTCATTGAACAAAGAAGAAAAGTTGTTATTATGGGAACAGTGGCATGTAACTGTCAGCACAATCAAATCATACGATAGCACAGTGATCAATTAGAACTAGTCTTAAGTGAGGGGAAGAAAGCTAAGTGAACTGTGTGCTGGTATAGTTAGCTTGTCTTTACTTTTCTCTAGCATTATTTGTCTTTTTACTATTATTAGGAAAGCTTTCCTTAGACTTATTTTAAAATTCTGGTTTATGCGACTGATTCATTTTTCCTTTCTGCAAAAGAACTTTTTTTTTAGCTATATGTATATTTTCAGAGTAAAGAAAGTACTTTAATGTATTGTCTCCATACAAGAAATTCATTTTCAGAAATCTGGGATGATCCTAGCACTGCAGTTATATTGGGATATACAGGATAGTTAAGAACAAAGGGGAGGAATTAGTTTAGCCTTTGCTCTCTGATCTGCATCCAGAAGGGGTCCTCAGCACACAGTTTGCCCTGAGTTTGCTCTAAGAGTCAGTGAGCATATTAAAGGAGAAAGTGGAGACTGCAGTTTGAAAATGGGACCAGACCCGAACGACCTTTAGTTCTTCTCTGAATCTGGCCATAATGTAATATAGCAGGAGGGTATGTTCTTGTTTTTTTCCCAAGGGTCTCAGAGGTACTTGTGGCCCAAGGAAGTAGTCTGCCAGTGGCTATAGTGGCACTCATGCCTTTAACCCCTGAAAACCCACCAGGTTCTGGCAGGCCAATTCTTTGATGGTGGGGGAGGGAAGGATTTCTTGGGTAAGTTTGGATCCTTTGGGAGATTTCTCCCCATGACCATATTAGGTGGATTTTTCTGTGGAGAGAGGTGATCTGACTGTTCACAGCTAGTTCTGGGTCTTTACTACCACCAATCCCCGTTGCTCCCATGTGTTTTGGTATTGCCTAAGTGTCAGGACAGTAGAGATTTTGTGACCACCATTTATATATTGTGGGGTGAACTGAAAATGAAGTGCTGACTTTCAACTCAGATTTTTGGCAGGTTTGTTTACTTATTGTGGAATTTAGAGAGAGTATAACAACTATAGATAGTCCATAAAGTCCCCAGAAAAATGTGAGGCTGCCTGATTGACATTATTTCTTGCTGTAGGATACACTTTAACTGCTTGTAATTTGTTGGAAGGGTAGACCCTTTGGCTGAGATAGAATGTCAGCAATACTTAGATGACTAGCCTGTCACTCTCCTTAATACAAATAAGAATACTAGGGATCACATCAGATAAAATCTTCAAAGAGAACACAGTGCCAATAGGAGTACTGCATTTTTAGGCACGCACAGTTTCTAGTCTGCAAATTTCAGTAACTGGGCAATCCCACTTATTTACTTAGCAAAATGCTTTTGTTCCACATTGTGAATTTTGTACTTGCCAATCTTTTGTTTCCTAAAGAAAGACTTTAAAATTAAACTTTAGTTTATAAAGTCATTTTTTCATATTTCATCATATCAATGTTTTTGAAAAGACTCTCTCCTTTATTTTGTAATGACTCGCCTTATTTACAGTCAGATACATTTAGATACAATTTAGATCAATTTTATCTAAATTAATTTAGATAAATGTGATGATTACCCTGATATGAATAAAAATAAATGACTCAGGAAGCGTTGAACAGAGAGCTCATAATCGAAGTAGACACAGAAATTCTCTGAAAGACAGTCAATAGGAGCTACTGCTATGCTGTTTCCTTGAAGCAATATGGCAATAACAAAGAGACACTGTTGTGTTTGAATAGCATGACATGTTATTTTCTTAGCTCTTGTTAAGTGGTATACAGAATTGTAGGTCATGTTGCAGTGATTTTTCACAATCCCAAAGGCCATTAGTGGGGAAAAAATCAGTAATTTATGCTAGGCAGGACATGAAAGTTATTGCCTTTCAGTATAAGAAGATGTGTTTAAAGCTGTGAGGAAAATGGAATAATTAATTCTGCTATGTAACAAAACAGAATGAAAATATTCATGAAGGATGGTTTAAAGGAAGGATATTTAATGTTATGGCCACATCCTTCTTGTGTCATCACCTGTTAATTGCCACTGAAGACAGTGGGACTAGTTGCGAGAATACATGGAGCAAAATGTGGCCCCAAGGTACAAACTATCAGCTAACCAGTGTAACAGTGCTCTGAGTTACACCCATGCAAACTCAGTGATGTCACTCAGACTGCAGAGATGTGGCTAGAGCACACTGTGCCCTCATACAGCTTCCCTATTTATTATGTTTTTACATAGTTTATTGTATCTACATGCCAAATATACTGCTAGATTTTTGTAATGACTCTCTGAAATATCAAGATTGAGTTAGCTTAAATTTTAGTTTTGCATTATCTCCATTAACATTATAACCAGTACACACAGTTTGAAAGGGAATTGCAGCAAATGAACAGAAGGCAGCAATGAAAATACTAGCTATGGTGCAATAACTTGCAAATATGAATACATAATGCTGTAGGACCCTCTTACCAATAATAAATAATCATTTCTCTATGTCCTTAATATTCATTTTAACTTCAAGTGCTTTAATTTACTAATAAGACTGTCCAAACAGTGAACTTCCTTATTCAGACATTCCTTAGCCTTTCAGCATTTGATTTAAAGCATCTGCTATATTAATTGATTGTAATTTCATAACAAAATTAATTCCATTGCAGAATATGGTAATTTTGATTAATTCTATGTTTGCACTGGAATGCTGAACAGCGCCTTGTCCTCAACATTTATATATCTACTAGTCTTGTTGTACTATTTAACCCAGTTTATTCATTCAGTTAAAACCACAAAGCACTACAGCGACCAGGTTACCAATAGATAACATGAGTGAGTGCTTCAATCTGAGGGCCTTGTTATACATTACACTGTGAGCTGCTCAAATGTTGATCAGCGCTAGTGCTAGCTTGAATTCGGAGCAGTCAGCACGTGCAGACCAGCAGGGGCCTGGAGGACTGAAAGGTAAGAATCCTTGCCCCCCGCCCAATCCAGGCTCCCTGATGCTCCTGCTGCCCCAGGGGGTACCCTGTCCCTCCCCTGTCCCCCTTCTGCCCTCTTTCCTCACTTACCTGTGGAAGTAAGGAAGAAGAGGTCCTCCTTCTGCCCTCCTCCCTCACTTATCCCTGTCCCAGGGATACAGGCAGGGAAGGGCTGACCTGCCTTCCTGGCGCCCACCACCACCTGAGCCTAGGCCAGAGTGCACTGAGCCTGGGCCAGAGAGCAGCAGCAGCAGTGGTGGTGGGAGCAGTGTCTGGGCAGGCATGTTAATACTTCCTTGCTTGCACCTCTGGGACAGACGATGAAGGCAGCCAGAAGTAAGTGGGGGGCTGGGGTATGGGGGTTAGTGAGCAGGGATCTGGGGTGCTGGGGCGTAGGGCAGCAGGCCTCATCTGGGCCGGGGGGGCGGGGAGGAGATGGTGTTCACACTAACGTGAAGGCTAGAGTGACCACACATTAATGTGACACAAGGTGGGTAACACGGATCAGAGAGAAACCTACGGTGAAGTGGCATAACTTTAAATTGCCTAAAGAGTGTGTAAAACTAGTGTCAGGTGTTAATGTGTGGCAATCCAGGGGTTAAGTGCTCTAGGAGCCACCTAAAATTAACATGCAACAAGGCCCTGAATGAACCATTTGATCCTTTTCCCACTGATGTTTTGTGCAGGAGTAAAAATGGTCCCCCAAAGCACTTTCTCCTACAGAGGAAAGTGCAAAATTTTCAAGGTGTTTAGATGTCTAATGAAGCTCATGGCCACTTGTGGGATTTCACTGGAAGTTATATGGCTGAGCACTTGTGAAAACCTCCTGGGTATCTATCTGTGTCTATTTAGATACCTAAATACATTTTCAAATCCGAATTTTTTTTCAGTTAGGGTCCTAAGTTGACACTTTATATACTGAACTAAGATTATGTTCACATGTTTAACTGAACTCCTAATTGAAATGATAAGAAGATAACCCTTTAAGCACAAAGGGCAACATCTACAAAATGATTTGGGCCTCCCAATGCTCAGCATAGCAATACCTAAATTTTAGATGCTCGGTCACCATTGAAGAGTCCACAGTCCCATTCAATGTATGTGGAGAGCTAGATGCTTAAGAAATGGATCAACTAAGTCAATAGGCAATACTGAGGATAGGGTGAATCTTATACTCAGCCTGGCTTTGGTACTCAGGTACTGTAGGCCTCTTATGCTCAGGCCTACAGAAAGGTAGCCTTGACTGCTCTGCAGCATTTATATGCTTTTGTCATTTCTTTTAGGGAGTAAATGTAATTTTTCTCCCCTATAACAGGACTGAAGGGGAAGAAAGGTCCTTGCTTATTCAGTGATTAAAGTATTCACACTGGATGGGGGGAGGAGTGAGTCCAACTTCAACTCTCAACTTCTGCTGAAAAAGTTCAAATCAAGCTATCTGCCACACCAAACTATAAGCTATTTTGGGTTTGGGGTAGGGGCACTAAATCCCCTTCGCTGATGCTATTCCACTTTACATAGTATAACTGGAGATTCAGTAGAAAGGTAATTAGTAGGGCTATGCAAAGCTTTAGGTGCTGATTTGATTTGGAGGAGATTTGGCCCAATTTGGCCGCTGAATCTCCAAATCTGAATAAAATCGGGAGACCACGTAAAAGGTGAGAATCAATTCAAAGCTCTCTGAATCTATATGGAAAAGATTCAGAGAGCTTCGGAGATTCAAGCAGTCCCCACTGGCTGCTGCACGGAGCTGGACCTGGACTCTGTGCTGGTAAGGGGAAAGGGGGGCTGGAGGAAGGGGAGGGGACCACAGGGGACTCCTTCCATGCCCCATCCCCTGCCTGCCTCCCCATCCCCACTGAGTGCCCTCTGACCCCCGCCCGCTGTCCCAACCCCCCCACCCCCATGGCTGCCCTGCCCAGCCCCAGG